TCTTTACCGATTTTCGAAATTTCGAGCAATAACTGCTTTTCTGAACATTTTTTGGAAAAAATGTCAAATTTGACAGGGAAGAAAAATCACTTGATCGGTCATATGCATGTCATTTGGCATCATTTTTGAAGCACAACGTAATGGAGATATCGAAAGTTGCTTGAAGAGATGAACAAAAAAAAATCCCATTTGATGCGGACTTTGTGTGTGACACTGTATATATATACCTCTTCCTATAACATGATTGGAATATGTGACCTAACCTTTTCAACTGGGAGTTGGGGTTTGTAGAGAAAGCAGTTGGCTAATTGTGAAATATGATTAGTTTTCAGAAGACAAGTGATGTGTCCTCGTTTTGGCAATACTCCACATGAAAATGTTCGTGTCAGGACTTTTAATATAGTTATAGAAATATTTACCTAAACAATTCCTGGGCCCGTATAAGAAAGGAATGAAAGTGCATGGATGTCTCTTTGCTATTTCCTCTGGTAAAAATCTATCCGGATCAAACTTCAGAGGCTCCGTCCAGTATTTTGGATTTCGATGTATGTAGAGCAAGTTAAAAGCAACAGAACTTCCTGCTGGAAGTATAACGTCTCCTGCGGAATAAAACGGATGAGAACTCATGAAAATAACAAAAAACAAATCAATTGTATACGTCCTTCTCTAATGAGTGGAGGATTTTTTATACCTGCTGTCAGTGAAGTCGTACTTTCTGAATTTGACAGGCAGAATGAAAAATTTCACACTCACCAAGATTTATGTCTTCCTCTATTCTTCTTGCAACAAGTGCTGCTATTGGAAAAAGTCTTAGATTTTCTTTAATAACTCTCTCGGTATACTTCATTTTTGGTAAATCAAAGGCTTCAACGTTACGATCAGGGCCCAGTATATCGATCATTTCTTCGTAGACTTTTTGCTGTAGGTATGTTTAAACGAAATGGCATAAATATACGAACCAATTTCTTTTTGAGCGGATCTAACTTTTGCTAACTCGGATACGATAAGACCTACAAGGTCTAGAATATCTGTAGTTGCTTCTGGAAATATTCGCCAAAAACTGGAATTATCGAATTTCATTTTTTGACCTCATTTTCGGAAGATGTAAAAGAACGACAGAAAAACTTTCGATACTGTTTTGTATTTGTTATGATCTGATTAAAACCAATTCGCAATGCGAAGTTACGTTCATTGGATTTCATCTTCGACTTTATTTTTCAAATATGAACCTGTACTGTAATATACTGCTGAATTTGTTATTGCAGTGGCTGAAAAAATCGATGGAAAAACTACAGTTACGTCTTGAAAAATAATGATGTTGATGATGAAATATAATGAATGGAATGTGGCATTGCAATTGGTTCATACCAGATCATAACAAACATGACAGTATCGAAATTTTCTTCGCTTTTTTTATACCATTCAAAGTGGAGGCGGTAGAGCCAAAAAAACGAAATTCGAGAATCCTAGATTTTGGTGAATATTTCAAAAATTATCACTGATCTGAAAATATATTATTTCAGCTTCCCAAAATAGAAACTTTCGTTCAATTCAACCGACCTTGAAGATCTTACCACCTGTAGAACGGCTTGTAGAAACATTTTTTTGTGTTCGTGCTGTCTAAGATGATGAAAAAGGTAATGAACTCCAGGTTATTGAAACAACTGAAGATCTCTCTACTTTTGGACACAGCCGTTGAATTGCCTGATTGAAAAAATATTCGGTAAATAGAGAAAAAACTAGTATATTCGCTGAAATGTTTTGATACAAAACAGAAGATGAATGTTTCCTATTGTTATATTATTCCATAAGCTCAAGTTTCATTTTATGTCATTGGAAAAACATCGAAAAGAGGTTTCAGTTACATTTTTGTATTGACTTTTGAACGACAAAATTGACTGACCTGTATTATTGTCTTTCATAAATATTTCCGTTCCATGACTAACAACTAAAAGGGCCTGCGTGTTTTATTCAACAGAGCTCAGATGACTGTCTTATTCATACATTATCACCGATGTCTGTAACATGTTCTGTACAAAAGAACTCCAACATTGGTACAATTTGTGAAAGTATCGTATTTTATCTCACTCCTTGGCGGGTTTCACTTTTTAAACTCTATTTGTTCGGGAAATATTGAAAAATTATCATGATTACTATAATGAGTTGGGAAAAAAATGAATAAATGTGACTGGAAGTTGTTGAATAATGAACGTGATATCCAAAAGTTTGAAAATATGTTGATATGGAAAACCAGTACAGATATGAACGTATGATGGTCCACTAAACTCGGATTTCTGTGTACTCCTGATTTCAGTTTTCTATAAAAAATACCAGAACATTTTTACCTGTACTTCGGGAAACAATCCCAGTAGGCTGAATAGAAAACATATGGAAGATGCCGTGGTTTCACTGCCCTGAAATCAAAGTAGAATTATGAAACTACATACACTACTCGATGTGGGAAAGATTCATTTTCAACTAAAAAACCACCATCTTGATAAAAAGTGAGCCATTTTGGTTGTTGTTGTATTGTTAAGAAAAGTTATTTGAAGCGAAATTTTGCATCATTTTATTACTTTCTGAAGATTTGATCAAGACACCAACAAAACATATCTATGACATCTTCGCGATATCACTTCAGGTTGAACTGCGAAATTGTTTTGTTGAATCAATTAAAGTAACCAAACTTCTGAAGGTTCAATTCTCAGTATCCATTCGGGAAAAGCATTAGATATCATTCATATATGATGCGTTTGTTTCAATGTTCTACTATAAGATGCGAGTTACATGGAAGCAACTATCTAAAAACGTGCCTTATCGACAGGGGTCCAAGACTTTCCAAGAAATGCAGAATCATTACATTTTGAATCTCATCAAAATTGTCTTCATGAAAGTTCATCCTCTGTTCTACTCTCGGAAAGAATTATTACTCTTGTTGAGTTTAAAGTGTTTTCGATTTTTTAAATCTGTTAGAAAACTCTGCGAAGAGTACGCTGGCATATTTTTTAAACCGGGTGACGAATTGACATCCATTTCGGAAGTCAAACACGTTATCCGAACAAAATACGCAATTTCTGTAGATACAGAGGTTTACAGATATCCATATATCCACGATAGTCGTGTCACGAAGTGTTCTGGCTATGTATTGAATCTATTGGAACCTCTGGTAACACCCTACATTTTGTTTTATGAGAGAGAGGACATTGGCGGATCAAGATCTTCAAGATAATGTGGTGCTGCAGGTTTTTCCGGGTTTTCCTGCAGCTGAAAAAGCAACTGCGCCACTGGAATCAATGTAGTCGCCCCAGAGCGCCAATTAGCCAATTAATTTTTATTATATTATAATTTTTATCACGGGATCATATAGCCCAAGATCGTCACTGATATGTTGGTGATAACCGGATAGTTGATGGAAAAACTATCGACGGCAAATATCCGATCACGAGTATAGCAATCAGAAAAACTTGGTAGAATTCAATATTTCTCTGCGCTAGACCTTAATAGCGGATTTTCAAATTGAAATGAGTTGATATTCAATCGGGAAGACAGCCTTCAACGTGAATAATGGGCACTTCGAGTACTTGAGGATGCCCTTCGGCCTGCAAAATGAGCCTTCAAATTTTCAGAGGGTCATGATTGATGCAACACAAAATTTCCTATATGGATGATATCATAATTTTCAGTAGCGGCCTTCAGAAACAAATTCAAAATCTGATACGAGTTTTATCAAAACTAAGGGAAGCTAGACTAAAAATCAAATTGGATAAATTCAAATTTCTACGCATAGAGCTAGAATTCCTGGGACAGTCAGTCGAGAATCCGGGGCCATTCAGAGCCTATTCACAGAAAATGAACGTCAGGCAGAGACAATGCGCGAATTTTCATCACTTTTGCGTTTCTCTCAAGTCGAGAAATGATCCAATGCAATTTCTACTTCGTGTTGGTATTCACTATCCGTTTCGATATATGTACATTGTTCAACTTTGATTGTGAAAAAAAAAACAAACTTGATTCTACTTCATATGGCAACGGATTTTTTTTGGGTGTCATCGGCATCGACTGCATTGGTCATTAGCCTCGTGTCCTGGGTAGGCAATGTTCATAACTCCTCGAACCACCTATAGGGAGCATCATGGCTGTTCGCAGTCTGTCAGCCATGTAACGTTGCAGAATCATCGCAGCTTCAATCAGATAAATAATCTCGAGAAAAATATCTGGTCGAGGTTGGGATCGAACTCACGATCTTCCGGTTGTGAGTCGGGCGCGCTACAACTGCGTCAGTTCACCGCTGGGCGATGGATATTATTGGTAATCAGGATATGAAAATGAAATGTTCATATACATATTTTGCAGTAAGTATATTACTGATGAAAAACTTTATTGAATTTGAGTTGGGTGGGTATTGGGGTTCTCAATTTATAATATAAATCCGAAACAGTTTTTGAGATACTATTCAGGCTATGGAAAATCACAATTCGAACGTTTTTGTGGAGGCCATTTTGAGCATTCCCATCAACAGTTCATCAGTCTTTGTCACAGGACACTGTCACCAAACGTGATGATGAAAAGTATCATAAGATTATAATATATGATGAATAATTTAATGTAATCGTCGCGTCGAAAAGATCTAAATGAAATACGGCTACTCACGGCTAATGCGAAGGCTACTGCCTCATCTTGCACTTCCTTCTCTGTTATGGAAGGATCCAGCAGCATAGAATCCAAAAAAGGTAATCGTTTTTCATATAAGGACTCTGAAATTTGTGAAAAAAAAATCAGTGGATGAGAATATCAGTACAAATGTGTAATCGTGATTCTCATTTGGAATAGTAATAATAATAATGATGTTTATTCAAAAATGGCGAAAAGATGCAGAAAGTCAATTGATACAAAATCAAATGATACAAATAAACTTAACAATATGAGTCTGGGAATGAACAAAATAGTCACAGAAGCTGATATAATCAGCTTGTGTGTGGTGAAATAGTATTATGGTGTGATGTTGTCGAATCAAGTGAATACCCCTTAATGGACCTCTGCTACATTATTATATTATATTACAGACTTGAAAAGCATAACGCTGGTGTTTTTGCACCCAAACGCGACATCAGTGTTGCAACCCATGGACCAAGGGATTATTCGAGCTTTGAAATCACATTTTCGTAAGAACGCTAACGACGCGAATAGCAAAGATAATGACGGTGATGATGCCGCACCAGAGGAGATTTATCCAACCTTGAGTATGTCAGAAGCTCCGAAGGCTGCGGAAATGCTGAATGTGTTTGTTCAGACTAACTTGGATGATAATGTTATGAAAACAAGGATGTCGCTAATTCATAATGCTGTACGAAATTCTTACTACCGAACAGGAATTTGTCAAAAACAAACTCAAATAACAGACTTTGTGTATATGTTTGTACATTAGGATATTTAAGAACTATTAAAATGAATCATATGTGATTTCATAAAATGTTATATTCACCTATCGATCAGCAATCCGAACACCTAAATGAAATACTAATGAACAAATCTACAATTTGCTAAGACAGAATTAATTCGTTTTGTGCGTCATCCGGTTAGTACGACATAGTATATCCGGTCCCTTGAAGGTCGTTATATATGCATTCTACTGTATTTCCAACTAGGTTGAGATTTTCAGATATAGCTTAATCATAAAATGAGCAGTTGACCGAAGTTCGAATAGAAATGGCTTAAGAAAACAGTGAACATATAATTTTTTCGAAGTAATAATATTAAGTAGTAATATACATTAGCTAATATTTCATAAAAATGAAATTACTATTCAATATATTACAAAGACTGACAGTATTCAGAAAGATATACGAATTGTAAACACCATTTGTCGTAGGAGGGTCGTGTCGTAGGTGTTCATCTTTCACTGCCTGAACCACTGTGCATGCTGTTTTTTGGCAAGTGTATTGGCTTGGGGATTGAGCAAACCGGCCATCGGATGCCTGCTTCCACGTAGCCCTGCTGGATACGGAACTGACAGAATCACTTGTGGTTCTGTTATTCCCAAACTTAATAACTCAATGACATCTCAACAATGGCTTAATTCTGAGGTGTGTGTATCAGTGCCGAGAGGATGAATGAAACTGAGCCTATTAGCTGTCTCTACGGAACCTTTGAGATACCGGGCGACCTCTCGTCGTAGTATCGCCTTGTCACGGTAATGCGGGGCTCTGCCGTGATTGCCCTTCTTTCCCTAGCTACTCGTGGGGGTCTTATGGACAGAGTAAACTTAAATTTTTTCCTGACGCTGAGTCTATAGAGAAAATGGATGTTGAGTTTACGACTCCAACTGACCTCCCTGTAAACTTAGATCAGGAGCGAGTCTACAGAGAAGATAGATGTCGAGTTTATGACTCCAACTGACTTCTCAACTCCCCAACTCCCGATCCAATAACTGAACCTAAAAAAAAGGGTGGTGGTGAAGCCAGGAAACGACTGAGTCGTCTCAAGAGCGGGGTACCTTATGAAACCGCCTTGCACCAAATTCTTGAGCGGCGTACGCAGACTCTGTCTCAAGTAAAGGAACAAACCCCCCATGAGTAGGTTAGCAAACGTTTGCACTCAACTGATGATTCAGAAAAACCAGAGGCAAAAAAGCCCTACACGGTTGAATCTAAGGCATCGTCAGGTGTAGCTGACGTGCAAAAACTCTCATATGGGAAGGTTGTCACGGGTATCAAGGTGGAAATATTCAACTTGACTATCCGACTACCTCATTAACGATGAAACAGCAGAGCATATACTCTGTGCCTGCCCCGTTATGGACCGAATCAGGTTTTCAGAGTTCGGCAGAGCCGTACTTTTATCATTTGACCTGAAAGACTACTCACCATACAAACAAATCGGCTTTGTTGAGGAGCTGATTTTCTTTGGCCGAGTATACAGGGTGTCCCTGGACTTCCTCTTTTCCTCTCGGGAATGTATAGATGGGGTCAAAATATCACCAGTACTTCATATAACTTTTTTTCCTAAAAGTCTTCGTAACCAAGTTACGGGCCCTCGAAGTTACAAAATGAAAAATGTTTTTCTTTGATAACTTTTCAAGTGAATATTCAAAATCATC